GTATTAAATCTAAAATATATAAATTTAAGAAAGTATTATTTACTACATTAAATTAAAAAATCTGTGCAGCAGATAAATAACTTTTTTTTAATACGAGTTATCTCTTTATCTTGTCCTGATGTAACTTATTATTTATTGTTTAAAGCTACTCTACAGTACCAGTTGGTGAAAACGTTCAATTACTATATATGATGAATTATTTAAAAATCTTATGTTCAAGAACTATTATTTCGATTTTGTCTCGATTTATTTTAGAATTTTTGTTCCCGACATTTCGAACACTGTACAGTGAACATGGTCACAGGAGAGACTAAAATTTTTGACATCATTAAAGCCTTTGAACCCCCAAAATTATTTAAAAAATATAAAGAAATAACAAATTTTTAACTGTAATTTATATCACAACAATTAGTTATTTAAACATTACTTCAAAACATAAATATTTAAAATATATTATATTAAATAAATAAAAAAAAAACATTATCGTTACAAGAACTTTTAAAACTTTTACACGAATGGCTTAGTTTTTAGTTAAAATTGTGTGGCAGATCTAATTTGTAGCTCAAAGCACGTTGCGCTGCGGATGCTCCTCATTATCTATGATAAACGTTGATGGCGTTGGAAATTCCCCGCTTCTATAACATGTACATGAAGTATATTATAATTTTATGGTGTTAATTACTATGAAGAAATTAATTACACTTTTGAGGGTTCCGTATCTAAAAGGAAAAGAGGAATCCTTATAAAATCACTTCGCTGTCGTCTTTCTGTTAAGACCCTATTTTTCATTAAGTATCTATTGTATTGTATTCAGCACTTTTTAACGTCCCACTGCTGGGCACGGGCCTCCCTACAATACGAGGGGCATCATGCCATAGTCCACCACGCTGGCCAACTGCGGGTTGGCAGACTATCCCTTGTCTTTCGAAAACTTGCTAGGTTCTCTCAGACATGCAGGTTTCCTCACGATGTTTTCCTTCACCGTAAGGCAAGTGGTAATCATGTTGGAAATGATTCACACATAAAAATATCAGAGGTGCGAGACCTGGGACTTGAACCCGCTTCTCTCGGTTTCCCAAGCGAGCGCGTTACCACTGGGCTACCACTGCCTACTAAGTATCTAATTGAAATTAACATCAAATACTCAGGAGCTGTGAAAAAATCCAAGTTCTGAGTCAACGCAATCAATATATTATAGAAGATCGTAAATTTGTAGTTCCATCACAAAAAATATTATTTATTTGCGATTATAAACTATTTTAATTATACTTTCTTAGATATATTAGATATATCTTATAAAAACAGAAAAGTTTTTTTTTTAATTCATACTTTTGGAGACGGTGTTTTTTTTTATAGAGATAGGTAAATTCTATTCGAATCGGTCGAATTTCGGCCACTGGGCGAACGACAGTAAAATGATGTATTTTAATACAGAAACTAAGACACGAGGAGATTTATGGATAAAATTAATAAACCTATTTTGGATTTAAAAATAAAAGATTTTTCTAAGCATTTTCTTTGCCTTTGTTTTCAAGATATATAATACTGTTTTTATTATTACTTGCTTTTACAAAATATATTTCCATGGAATAAACAGATATAAGCGACAGCCACTTTGATGTTTCAGTACCTACTACTACAAAAAAATAATTGTAAATAAATGTTCAAAGCTTAAGATCGTTTCAAGTATAAAATGAAATCTTTGAGGTATATATTATACTCGTAGAACATACCTACTAGCGACTCATCCTCGCTTCGCTCGGGCTCGTCCATAGATACGATTTAACGGTTAGTATGGAATAAATAAACTATATACTATATGATATACATACATACATATATCCTATAGCCTTTCTCAATAAACGGGCTTAAAAAAATTTTCAAATCGGATTTGTTGGTAGTTTCTGAGATTAGCGCGTTGAAACAAATAAACAAACTCGGCCTCTTTATAATATTAGTATAGATTAAATAAAATGTACAGTGTTTCAAGATAATGAATTAAAAAATATCATTACATAAATAACTGGTAAGGACCACCTGAATTTAGACTATTGATCCTAGGTAGATCAAAGTCAGTTATTGTATTTTTCATCTATTATCTTTATTTCATTGCAAATTATATTTTTTCATCTTGAGACATCAACTCAAGCCGTTAATCTATATATAAATACATATGTTGGGGTAATAATACACAGCACCATCTAGCTCCATGGTAAGCTATGAGGCTTGTGTTATGGATACCAGATAGTTGATACACTATACATATATAACTTTAAATACATGCATATTATAAATATAAACACCCATTTTTTTTTAACGTTGGGAAATGCATTTACGCATGACTGGAATACAAACATTCGTACTTATCACACAAATGATTCGAACCCGCGACCGCTGGCATAGCAAGTAGTTTCACTACAAACTGAGCCAAACGTGTCGTCAAATATCATGTCTACGAGTATGTAGTCTAATATACGAGTACATATAATAAAGAGGTAAACTTTGTTTGTGTGTAAGGGATAAACTCCGGAACCACTGAACCGATTCCAAAAATTCTTTCATAATAGAAAGCTACACTATTCTTGGTGGATATAGATAGCCTATATTCACCAAGGAAAGTGTAAATGTAGATTTTATTTTGATTTAAAAAAGTTTTCCATTTTAAATCTTAATATTTGTAAATCAACGACAATTTTATGACACGTTTGGCTCAGTTTGTAGTGACCCCACTTTCTGTGCCAGCGGTCGCGGGTTCGAGTCCCGCTGGGGGCATTCATTTGTGTGATGAGCATGAATGTTTGTACTTCAGTCATGGGTGCTTATATTTATAATACTCGTAGGTATGTATGTATTTAAAGTTATATATGTGTAGTGTATCAACTATCTGGTATCCATAACACAAGCCTCGTAGCTTACCATGGAACTAGATGTTGCTGTGTACTAATGTCCCAAAAAATTTTTTATTTATTTATCAAGTCAGAGTAAAATGCACTAAATAACCGCTTTATATGCCTGCGCTGGCTAAATCGTTTCTTGTATATGAAAATAATTGTTTATAATTAAAAAATCGAAGTGTTGGTGAGTTGCTATAATATAAAAAAGTCAATATTTAGAATTTTCAAAGTACATTTAATATAACGTACAAATTCATGCACTGTCCACGTTTCTCATTAAAATATTATAAACAGCTCTGAGGTCGAAAATGTGTCACCTCTCTACCGCAAGCTGTATCAATTTATCTTGTATGTAGTATATTCAATGTTTAATACTTCGTATTATAATTTTTTTTAAAATAGTATTATTTTTTTATAAAGGCATATTAATGGTTCTAGAGTGGAGACCACGGCTTGGCAAACGTAGTGTAGGACGCCCTCTAGCAAGGTGGAGCGACGACATACGTAAACTAGCTGGCAGCGGTTGGATGCGTAGAGCTGAAGATCTATATCAGTGGCGTGCCATATAGGAGAGGCCTATGTCCAGTAGTGGACGAAAGCAGGCTGAATATGATGATGATGATGATATTAATGCTAGTGGATCAAGAGTGTAAGCTAGTATTTGTTAACTAGACAAGTACTTCTCAATGAGACACGTGTTTACAGATAATAAAATTAAAATTTCTATTTTTAACGTAGAAATAAATGCTTTTTACTACATGCATATGAAATTATATACGGTACTTATAAGAAAAATTCAATTTTTAATCTTTTTGTCTGTCTGTCTGTTTGTTCCGGCTAATTTTCGAAATGGACAGATTTTGACGAGACATTCACTGGTAGGTAGCTGATATTATAACTAGTAACTTAAGATACCTTTATTTTTTTTGTTATTTTAGAAAAAGAATTAGCGGAACCTGATCAAAAAAATTAAAACTTACGAGACGCACCCAAGTGAAACGAGCATAAGTCGTTAGTTACTAAAATAAATATATTAGAGACAAATAGAGAATCAATCGATATACTTATATTATTTTCTGCAAACAATACACTAAGAGTAAAAGCTAACACCACGTTAAAACTCAATAATTTAATTTTACCCTTTCCCTATTACATTACACAAAGACGAAAACTTACTTAGATCTAAATGAAAGTAAAGAGTCTTATACAGAAAACTAATGGAACGACAACAGTTTCCAACAAAGTCTGCTCTTAAAGACGAAAATCGAAGACAGCATTGTTCTATTTTAATTTCCAAGACGTGGAACTGTCAAGAAATAACCAGTTATATTCTAAAGAACAATAATCTGAAGAACGAAAGTCGTCAAGGAAATACGCCTTTAGATATGATGAAATCTTGAAACTTATATATTTTCAGGATTTATACGTAGTTTGGCACATAAATATGGTTAATTAAATGTTGACATAACAATTATAGTAAGTTTTTCAAGCATATTGGACTTTATATAATTTGTGAGCGTTAAATGTAGAATTTTAATAGAAAAGTAAGAGAAAATTATATTTTATTAGGAGTTTTTTATAGCGAAGATTTAATTCTTCTCGTTTAAATTCGTTATATGGGAAATTCTTTAAGTCCCTTGGTTTTGTTAATTTAATTTTATCACTAGAAACTATGCTTTGAGTTTAATTATTACTTTAACACAGATTAACTGTAATATTTTTCTACAACAACCTTCATGTCTAAGAAGACTTAACTTGTTTTCGTAATACATGTAAAATTTGCCAATCTGCACTTGGTCAGCGTAATAGAATATTGCTTCATGGTAAGCTACGAGGCTTGTGTTATGGATATCAGATAGTTGATACACTACACATAAACATATATCTTTAAATACATACATATTATAAATATAAACACCCATGATGGAAGTACAAACATTCTTGCTCATCATACAAATGAATGCCCCCCAGCGGGATTCGAACCCGCGACCGCTGACACAGCAAGTAGTGGTCACTACAAACAGCCAAAATTGTTTAAGAGAAATGGAATTTAAACTAAGAATTTTAGTCACATGAGCTAATTCCTGGTGATTGTTGAATACTTACTGGTATATCATTTATGTAGAATGTAAGCTCTGAAGGTGGCCGGCTGGGACCGGAAGTACAGTTCCCTCTAAGGATGTCTCCTGGCATGTAGTAGTGTTGACTTGTGTGGATAGTCGGCGATGATGGTGGAAGAACTGGGATAAATATAAAAAATAATAATAATAATGTATACTGAATTCAAAATTACTTAAAATTAATTCCACCAATATGGATGGATTCTGTGACCACGTATGGTGTATTATGTTATATAGCCACAAAAAATGCAAACGAGTAGAGTGCCTCTTCCTTATCGTCAGCAATAATCATTTAAATATTCTACATAAAACTATGTTTTCGGATTTTTTCTTGGATTTATTTTGATTATTGGTCCTCGACGTTTTGAATGCTTTACAGCAATCATGGTGACGGGAGAGACTAAGGTTTTAGACCTGTCACATAATCAAAAAATAAAACTTATCTAACCGTTGTCAAATTATCCATGTTTTAGCGAAAATTCGAATTATCAAATCGTCCTACGACATATACTCGGATAATATACGATGGTAAAATTTCTTAATAGGTACATAATAATTCAGAGTTCTTATAATATTAAATTTAATTCTTCTTTAAGAGTACTTACCAACAACTTCCATATTATTGGAAACTATGGACGTGGCAAATGAAGGGGCGTCCGCGGTGACTTCACAGCTGAAGTTTCCAGATAGACCAAAACTCACTCTTGTTAAAACGACTTGGCTTTGATTCGATCTGGCCAGCTATGAAAAAAAATATTTTAAATTACTATGACGAAAGTTTCATGAAGTGGTTACTGTTTGGGTTATGATTTGAAACTATAGAACCTATGTATGTATGTACGTTGTATATGTTACGTTAGCATGAATAATAGAAAATCATTTATAATTATAATCAGTATCTAGCGATAGTACGCTAGAAGTATAGAACGGTAGAAAAAATAGATAGACAAAAACTAATTTGCCAAGTAATTAATATAAGTTAAAAATTAATAGTTCCCTTGATTTGGGTGAAATTTTTCTTACAGTAGGTACGAAGATATCGCGTAACACACATACACAAGAATAAACACATAAATTGAGTAAGAGGTATTTGAAGTCAGTTAAAAAGTAAATTGTACGTAACTCTTTCTTTAAAAATCGGACTACTATTATAAATACGAAGTTGTGTATATGTGTTTGTTGTGTGTTTGTTTGTTAGTATGTCACGCTAAAACGGCTAGATAGATTAAGATGAAAAGTACCTGGAGCAACACATAGGCTAGTTTAAGGTATATATAATATATTTGACGACACGTTTGGCTCAGTTTGTATTGACTTTACTTGCTGTGCCAGTGGTCGCGGGTTCGAGTCCCGCTGGGGGCATTCATTTGTGTTGAACAAACATGAATGTTTGTACTCCAGTGATGGGTGTTTATATTTATAATATGTATGTATTTAAAGCTATGGGCCTAGATAGTGCTGTGTGTTAATGTCCTAATATATTTATGGGCACGACCGGAACATAAGTCGCCAGTTTGACATAATCGGTTCACTCGAACAATGTTACGGTTACAGCAAGTGTTATACATATATCTATAATATGTATACTAAGATCATTTGTAAACACACTATACAAACAGCAATGAATGATAAATGAACCCAATCTTAACAATTGTATGAATTGTATGAAAAGCCCTGATATTCTACACTATACCGCATTGAAACGTCCGTGTATAAATATTCTATTTACGCGCCATCTAAGAAGGTACTATTTAAATTATTACATTAATATTAAATAATAATTATATCGATTACAATTTCTGCTCAGCTTAGGTTATTTTTATATTTTGCTTATTCAAATGGTGTATGAACACAGGTTAGATGCCTGTTTGATGAACAACTATATTTATACTAATATTATAAAAGGGAAAAACTTTTTTTTGTATGTTTGTACCCAAGGTATCAAAAATTTACCTTTTTTTTTTTTTTTTTTTATGTCGGGAAATGCATTTACGCATACCACCTGATCCCTCAGGTGGTGATGTGGGGCTCACCGGCTAGAAGAGCCGGTACTACCCACTAAAACCCGACATTCCCCTCCCCTCCGCCTTAATGGGACGCCGCAGGATCGCTTGCGCATAACTACTACGGCGCTCCGGCGGCAGGTCTGCCAACGGCTGACCACCACACCGATGGGGCTGCTCCACAGTCTACTCTGCTACACCAGAGAGGTACCCGGAGCAGCTCCATAAAACCGAACCTCCGCCCACCGAAGTGGGCCACCTCCAATCGGCTGCAGAGGACAGGGAGAGCGGCAACGAAACACCGACACTCCTCTTCCCCTGCAGCCCCACCGCGTCCGCCATCAAACGGTGGCGGCCCCGTCTAGGCCGCGGAAGGTAGGGAGAACGGCGCACCGAAATACCGGCACTCCTCTCCCGCCGCGGCCTACCCCTCCGCCGGATGCGGGCCTGCGACTACAGTCCCGCAACCGGCACCCATCATCCGGTTGTGGGACCAAGCGGTCCCACCACCGGTGGCCGCAACGTCTTCGGCTCGAGGCCTAGACGAGCGGCCCCATCCAAGCCATTTGGTCCGCGCCGGATTTCTCCGGTACCACCCGCCGCCCTAAGCGGGTGGCATTCCCCTATCCGCCACCTGGGGACGCGCCCGGTAGGAGTTGGCTTCTCCCCCGGGATCAAAAATTTACCTGTAATAGCTAGGGATTCGAACCCGAAATCGAACGAAGCCAGGTTGAATCGCTAGTTATAAATATAAATATTCATTCAAGCATTCAAATATGATAAAATAACTAACTGTGATATATAGCACTCGTAAAAACTAATCAAATGACCCTTGAATGTTTTAGAAGCAACCCTTGAAGAGTTCCACTGTCCACCTTTTGGCTTTATCATTATTCTTATATCTGTATATTTTATGTACCCTCGCTACGCTTGCTTTTATCTAAATCCGTCCAGATGTTTTAGCGTGAACAAACATTACGACACATACAAACTTTTTACGCATTTATCTGTATGTTAATACCTAAATATAATAAAATTCTGAATTTTTGTCTGTCTGTCTGTATGTCTGTGACTGCATCACGAGAAAACCACTGGACATATTTTGAAAAATCTTATTGAAATAGACATTATCAGAAGAAAAATAGTTTTCAGAATTTTTGTTTGACTGTCTGGGAACGAATCGCCAAAAAAACCACTAGACATATTTTGATGAAATTCCGTATGAAGATAGCTGGCTATCCGGGTCAACATATAGGATACTTTTTCCTACAGAAAAAATATCTCATTTCTGAGAAATCTACACTAAACTTTAAAAAGTAACTAGGAACGAGCCCGAGCCGAGCTAGGGTTAGTCGCTAGTAATATTAAAATAATGAATCATCATTCTGCCATAGTTGGTTGAAATCCATTTGAACGAATTAAAAGTTTTTAGTTAAAAGGGTTGCTTAGTAAAAGTACAACTAATAATAAAAGTGTAATAAAAGAACAAAGCACATGAACCCCGTCATGTTATGGGATAGACTGACTTGTAATGTCTTTAAATAATGGGAAGTAGAAAGGAGTTAGGGCTAATACATTTACTCTATCCATCCCTTAAGGGCAAAGTGTGCGATGGAATAAATTGATGCAATAAATATTCCATTGAATAAATATAGTATGATGTATTTATGGTAAGATTTGGACAACAAAATACTCGTAGATCTTTGATTGAAACATAAAATATTCACAATATTGCGTCCCTCCAATCCTATGAGAGCGTGATGATATACAACGTATGTATATAATATTATACATTAATTGATGTTGTAGTGCAGCCCAGTGATAGACCAGTGTCTTGCTTGAAAAACCAAATGAAGCGGGTTCAAATCCCGGGTCTCGCACCTCTTATATTCTCATATGCGAATCACGCCTTCGGTGAAGGAAAGTATCGTGAGGAAACGTGTATTTCTGATCGAATATAGCAAATTTTTGAGAGACATGTAAAGTCCACCAATCCACAATCGGCTAGCGTGGTGGATGGCCTGATTCCCCTCGCATTGAATGGAAACGCGTGCCCACTAGTGGGACGTTAAAAAGAGCTAAATTCATATAATCGATGTTTGCTTCCAATTCTTCAACCTTATTAGGCATGTATCACGTATATAATACATGGAACTTAATAAGGAGAGAAAATAATTAATTTAGAAAGTTTTCTTATTAAGTATTATAAATTTAACATTTATAATTCTAATATAAATTTCCGTAGAACAAACATGAAATATTAATAAAACACAAAACTCACATTTCAGGTTAAAACGTGTTTCTGTCTTCGTCTAACTTTATATTAAGTTTTAACTGCCTTGTTTTTAGTGGCTAGCATATTAAGATGCAGATCCAGAGGTCCTTGAGTCGAGTCCCGGGTCAGATAAGTTTAACAGGTAAAATATTCTCAATACCCATCCGGGTCAACATATACTATAGGTACTTTTTATTGCGGGAAAATATCTCATCTCTAAAAATCTATAATAAACTTTAAAACGTAAGTAGTGAGGGACTCGAGAGAAGCAAGGGTGAGTCGCTAGTATCGAAATAAAGCTTGAAGTAATAAAAAAAATCTTTTCTTTCCATAGAAAACATCTAATAGAATGCCTTCGCTACTTATTCTAGATTAACCCGTACCAGGACAAAGAGAACAAAATGACCCATGAGGTTATTATCGCAACTGAAATAAGAAGGCTAGAATTTATGAACAACTGCTGAGCACTGGACGGGGAAAAATTGCTTTGTTTTTACAAAAATAGTGGATAGAACACGCAAGGATGATTTAGGTATCGTGAAAATTACTATAACATTCTTCTAAAATAGGGTTATAATGAAATATTTGTCATGTTTTAGTAGTCGTGTAGCTTGGTTTTATTGGTCGTCTTCAAAAAAAAAATTACTTATGTGTATGTTTTTTTATAGTGAGCTGGTTTTGATGATATTTGCTAAATAAATAGGCCATGACTCAAATATTCCATAGCCTAAGAAAAAAGTAGTTATCTATTGTAATCTGCATTTAAAATTGATTAAAAACTCTATTTTTACTATACAGTATGAAAATTACATAAAACAGTTATGTTTTAAATGGAGTCAGGATGAGATTCAATGAGTTTATAAATTAAAATTAATTGGTGTTCGTAAAGTGGAAATCTTAGTTATAATTTAATTAATTGACTCAACAGAAAATAAACCTTCACCTTTGACCTCTCTTTGCTTCTGCAATGCCATACATAAGGAGGGTCACGATGATTGGTTGTGAGTTAATCTAAATATAAATAGATAAAGACGAACAGTTAAGAATTTATTCCTTCCCTGTTGGTCAATAATTTTTCGTTTTCAACCGACTTCAAAAAGGAGGAGGTTCTCAATTCGACTGCATTTTTTTTATGTTTGTTACCTCAGAACTCCGTCATTTATTAACCGATTTGGACAATTTTTATGTTATTTGAAAGTGTATACTTCCAGATTGATCCCATTTAAATTTCAAAAAAAAATACCACCCCTAAGGGTGGAAAAATAGCTAATGATGAATTTAACCTACTTCTAATTGTCATATTGACTTGAAACTTTGCAAGTGTTTCTATTTCCGTTGATAGTACAGTGGTTCGGTATTGTTGACCTGATCTGATGGTAAGGTCAGAAGGTGGATAGGTGGAACTCTTCAACGGCTAATAGTAGATACTTTGAGTTTGGGCTTATTTTGTTTGATTTGACAAG